AGATGTATATAATCTCGTTATATACCTCTGATTTTCCAACACAGTATGTATTTTTTAAATCTTTATAACGCGGTTATGGCAGAATGGAGATAAACGTAGTGTGTTGGAAAATCAGAGGTATAGAACGAAATTATAATAGCTCTAAATTTTGGTTTAAAACCGAACGCGTTGGATTCTCTATTTTTTTATTCAAAACCCTCACCGTACGCGTTTGGTTTTAAATAAAAGTTAAGAGCTATTATAATTTCGTTATATGCCTCTGATTTTCCAACACAATATGTTTATATTCTAATTATCCGTTTTCTGCATCTCATGGCACGTGCAACAGCCACGTGAAACTGACCATCCTTGAGCTCGCCATCACACGTCATTCTTTCCTCCTACAGAGGTTACTTGTCATATCTTCCTACGAACCTCTGTTCTAAAACGGCCCTTTCATGGTGCGAGTGTTCAGGATTCGTGATTGGTTGCAATCAGATTTAGTTGTGCAATCAGCGACGTTGTTTCAAAGTGATCATTCGCAAGGCCTCAGTAATTTTCGTATGCTTCGTAAAAACTAGAACCTCTTCCCCTGCGCGATGCGCAAACGTTTCTTCTAGACAGAACTCAGTCATGTAACGGCGAATCAAAGGACCCTCGTTGGCAACGGACAAGCTAGCCATTAAATATATTGTGTGTCACATCAAGTCCCTGACAGAGGAAGCATATGGCCCCACATTTGCTTGTATTAGTCATGTTGGATCTAAGTCGATGTAACACGTGTCCCGAGTGGATTGAAAGAAGGGAGATAATTCGACTTTTTGCCGCTAGGAGATTTTACGAGAACCGGGAAATATAACCGTATTAGAACAGAGGTTCGTAGGAAGATATGTCAAGTAATCTCTGTGGGTTGAGAATGTTACACGTTCACCTTTAATATTTGTTCGGCGTGGCATTAGAAGTGTTCATCTCTATCTCAAGCTTTGTTAACGTGTTTTTTTCCTAATCGCCAGCCAATTCTTTACACATTCGGCGGTTAGGCACATCAAATTGTGATCACAAAAGAGCACTCGGCCTTGTTCACCAGTTAATTGGTCATAAAGACTGACGAATTGTCGTAATGAGTCCAAGCGCCATATAGTCCCTCGTAGATTGCTTGTAAAGCCTTAAAAGTAGTCCGTGTTTCAGCAGGGGAGAAAGAAGTCCTTTACGGTGGATCTTCTGCACAGCTATTAAGCGCCTGAACAACTGCAAACACTATGTCGGGTATTATTCACTCTCACTGTAATTGAATTATGTAGGGCACATATCCGGTTATCTCATAGCTGCGTGCAGTCACAAAGTAGAGCTAGGCTGAAGTCTAGAAGTCTTTATACCTTAGTACGGTACAACTTGTGTGCCTCTCTTCTTGAAGGCGTTTGTCTTGAATATAGGAGATCTACTACTTCCATTTGAGGGCTGATGTGAATCGACGCGAGGTAAGTAATATTTCTACAATATTTCGTTTGGTCGTAGCAGCATGTGAGACACCAATCATGATTTATACATAGTGTCGTCTTCTTTTCGTACATGAAATTTGCAACATGGTATGGTGCTCTCAACATGAAATCGACATGAAAATAATATACACTTTGCCATATGAAACATTATCATGCAAGATGTTGATGCATATTAACCGAAAAGGTAGCTGTGCTTAGTATAACTATTTATTCTAACTTTGTTTCTGAAATTTACAAAATGCATATTCCTCAAAGTATCTCATCGATTTGTCGATATACATCAGTGGTTGACGTCACGGCGTTTTGTTTATAGAAGGAGATGTATCGAGCAGAACTTGTGAGTCAATGGATAACGTTACGGCTTTTGTTAAGGAAGGAGATGTGTCGAGCAGAACTTGTGTGTCAGTCGTTGACGTTGTGGCTTTTTGTTTAAGGAAGTAGATTTGTCGAGGAGAACTTGTGAGTCAGTGGTTGACGTTTCAGCTTTTTGTTTAAGGAAGGAGATGTGTTGAGCAGAACTTGTGAGTCAGTGGTTGACGTCACGGCTTGTTATGTAAGGAAGCAGATGTGTCGAGCAGAACTTGCGAGTCAGTGGTTGACGTCACGGCTTTTTATGTAAGGAAGCAGATGTGTCGAGCAGAACTTGTTAGTCAGTGGTTGCCCTCACGGGTTTTGTGTAAGGAAGCAGATGTGTCGAGCAGAACTTGTGAGTCAGTGGTTGACGTAACGGGTTTTGTGTAAGGAAGCAGATGTCGAGCAGAACTTGTGAGTCAGTGGTTGACGTAACGGGTTTTGTGTAAGGAAGCAGATGTGTCGAGCAGAACTTGTGAGTCAGTGGTTGACGTCACGGATTTTTGGAAGCAGATGTGTCGAGCAGAAGCAGAGTCAGTGTGTCACGGCTTTATGTAAGGAAGCAGATGTCAGAACTTGTGAGTCAGTGGTTGACGTCACGGGTTTTGTAGTAAGGAAGCAGATGTGTCGAGCAGAACTTGTGAGTCAGTGGTTGACGTCACGGCTTTTTATGTAAGGAAGCAGATGTGTCGAGCAGAACTTGTGAGTCAGTGGTTGACGTCACGGGTTTTGTGTAAGGAAGCAGATGTGTCGAGCAGAACTTGTGAGTCAGTGGTTGACGTCACGGGTTTTGTGTAAGGAAGCAGATGTGTTGCGCAGAACTTGAGATTCAGTCGTTGACGTCAAGGATTTTTGTTTAAGGGAGGAGATGTGTCAGAGCCCCAGGACCTTGTACGTCAGTGGTGGAGGACAGCTAGGATGGTGGCTGTGAGGTACAGCTAGGGGAGGTGTGAGGTACAGCTGGGGAGGTGTGAGGTACAGGTGGGGAGGTGTGAGGGAGTACAGCTAGGGAGGTGTGAGGTACAGGTGGGGAGGTGTGAGGTACAGGTGGGAGGTGTGAGGCACAGCTAGGGAGGGGTGAGGTACAGGTGGGGAGGGGGTGAGGGCACAGCTAGGAGGGGCAGGTACAGGTGGAGGCACAGGTGGGGAGGTGGAGGACACAGGTGGGAGGCAGAGGCACAGCTGGGAGGCACAGCCACAGGCACACAGGACACACACACACAGGTGAGAGACACACAAAGGAGGCACACAAAGAGACCAAAATATGCACACACAACACAGGAAAAGACACAGGTGGAGAGGAAACCCAGGTGGCCAGCATGACAGCACAAAGACAGCACACGACGACAACACAGAGAGGTGGAGACAGACAAGGTGGACTCATTTTCCAATAAATGAAAAAAGTCAAGCTACCCGGATTCCAACAGTACTTCATTCACCACTGTGGACTGTCAGGGAATCCTAGTTTCAGTTGAGAGAATTCCCTTCCTGCTTGTCTGTTATCATCCACAACCGCCTTCTCCTGAAGCTAGGGAGGTATGAGGTACAGCTGGACTGTCAGGGAATCCTAGTTACAGTTGAGGGAATTCCCTTCCTGCTTGTCCGTTATCATTCACAACCGCCTTCTCCTGACATATGTGTTCTGGTTCGCTGCGGCCTCGCTGTTGGGACAGCATCTTCTACGTAGATGATAAAAACATGTTTTGGCCCTTATACGTTTCCATACCATACACTTACCCAAAACAAAATATACTACCCATCAAAAGTTAAGGCTCACTTAAATCACTCACTATATGTTGTGTGTGTGTGTGAGAGAGAGAGAGTGTGTGTGTGTGTGCGTGAGTGAGTGTGTGAGAGTGTGTGAGAGAGAGAGAGAGTGTGTGTGTGTGTGTGTGTGTGTGAGAGAGTGTGAGTGAGTGTGTCTATATATATATATATGTTACAGTCAATGTCTACAATCAGGCAATGTCTACAATGTGTTCAACAATCAGTCAATCTGTACAATAATTGGGCTAATTAATCAGGCAATGTACACAATGACTAAGCGACTGGTTATTTCAGTCATTGTACACATTGCCTGATTGTAGACACTGACTGTAACATATATATATATATATATATATATGTATGTGTGTGTGTGTGTATGTGTGTGTATCTGTGTGTGTGTTTTTACATCGCGATATATCTAAGATGAATTTCTCCACTAACTTATGGGAACCAACTGCAAACCTTATGCAGTTGAATTGCACGAGGATCATGCATCAAATGATGAAAAGCATGTGCAAATATCGTGCAATGTGAACAGCTGCGTTTCGGTGTAAAGTTTTGTTAAGGATTCGGCAATTTTCATCATTTATTGAACTCATGACAATAATCTTTTCAACGTTACGAATTTGTTTTACAATACAACAGTTAAACAGCACCTTTAAACAGTATGGAATATTTTGCAAAATCTAGTTTAGAACGGTTGCCTGAAGTAAGTGGCTATATTTACTCTAGTGAGTCTAAACCTTTGATGAGAAGTATATGTACGTTACCTGCTTATCAGCTGAAGTAAGTGGCTATATTTACTCTAGTGAGTCTAAACCTTTGATGAGAAGTATATGTACGTTACCTGCTTATCAGCTGAAGTAAGTGGCTACATTTACAATAGTGAGACTAAATCTTTGATGAGAGGTATATGTACGTTTCCTGCTTATCAGCTGAAGTAAGTGGCTATATTTACACTAGTGAGTCTAAACCTTTGATGAGAAGTATATGTACGTTTCCTGCTTATCAGCTTATGTTTGTTTGATGTTAACGCCGTATTCAGAAATATTCCAGTTACATGGCAGCGGTATGTAAACAATCATACCAAACTCCGGCAGTTGTAAAGATGACAACACTGAAACTGCATAATTTAAAAAAAATATTCGTCCAGGGTAATGTTCCAGCAATAGAGAAATACTACAATAATGATACTGGTACGTTTTTCCTGTAAAAATCTGGACAACTGTGAGTGAGTGAGTTTAGTTTTAAGCTTCATTCAGCAATATTCCAGCTATATGGCGGCGGTCTGTAAAAAAATCGAGAAAAAAAGGACCAGACAATCCAGTGATCAACATCATGAGCATTGATCTACGCAATTGGGAACCGATTAAATGTGTCAAGCAAGTCAGACAGCCTGACTACCTGATCCCGTTAGTCGCCTCTTACGACAAGCATGTGTTACTGAAGATCAATTCTAAACCGGACCTTCACGGATGAATAGATTGGAAATTCAGAAACACCGTAGCACATGCCTACAGAATATACACGTCACGTTTTTCAGTATCACTCAACTGGCGATATGTAGTTGACGACAGTGTTTGTGTCATCCACACAGACATCCCGCACTTGTCGGGCGTTTGATGGACCCGGTCCTGCTCCTCCTCTTCCTCCACCTCCGTGTCCTGCTGCTGGGAAACAATCTGCCAAAACAGGCATTGGAGAATCACTTCCTTCTTCTGGGTTCATGATAGGCTGGTGACTCCTGTTGCCGTCGTCTTCCAGTATTTCACAATATCCATGGTACTCAACAGCGTGGTCATCTTTGTGTTCCTCCACTCTGTCAGGTAGAGGGAAGGCCGCAGGGAGAACATATTTATTCATCCTTGTAACAAGAAGTGGACTCATTTATATTATTTGGGTGTCAACCATGTTGCTTTATCCTGTCACCCATAATAACAAATGTCATACTTATGAAGCATATTTTTTAATTTAACGTCATCTCATTTTAGCTTTATTTTATTTTAAGGTCATCTCATTTTTACACACTGAGTCTGTCATTGTCCACAATACCAAGATATTTTCCAGTTAAGTTCACAAGCTCAATTTGTTTTGTATTTTCATTCCTACTTTGTAGAATTCACAGGGCGAGTTTAACAAATGATGGCACATGTGTCCAGGTAACACCCTTATGTATAATGTAATCTGTTCCAAGTGTGGCACATGCTTATCTGACAAGTCACAACAATTGACACTTAAAATTAGTACCGTGTAGTAACGTGAAATAGCCATTTCATATCAGCTCTAAACACAATTACATATAGCAACTGCAAAGTGGCAGCTGTGTATGTTCATGCACTTTGATAAACTACTAGGTTTGACCAAGAGGTGACAGTAAAGCAACTAAAATGAACACCATCTCGGTAAACCAACAGGAGAATCGATCAAGACCAAAATCACTTTTTTGTCGATGTTTCTATATGTTTCAACAAGCCACAATACTGTTTTCCAGTTGATTTCTACGAACTACAGGTATTGTAAGGGTTGGTTGGTTTGTTGTTTTAGTCGCACTTAGCAATTTACAAGCTATATGGCGACGGTCTGTAAATAATCGAGTCTCCACAAGACAATCCAGTGATCAACAGCATGAGCGCTCATCTACGCAATTGGGAATCGATGACATGTGTCAAAAAAGTCAGCAAACCTGACCACTCGATCCCGTTAGTCGCCTTTTACTATAAGTATTGGTTGCTGAAAACCAATTCCAACCCAAATCTTCACGGGTTGGGTAATGTAAGGGGAGCACGACATGCAAAAGACAACACAGCCAACTGTTTACTTCTGTTATGATCTTACCTGTCACATCTCACGACATTTCGACACCGGTAGCACACTGCCATCAACATCAGAAATAGAAGTGCTGATCCTGTTGAAAGTCCTATTGTAACAGCATTAGCCCCATCTAAACATATATAGATATACATAATGAGCAATTGCTGACAGACTTAACTTTCTTTTGAACAGAGAAAAGAATCCCGTTAAGCCACATGGTCAAGATTTACTATTCACACTTTGCTAAGGATCAAATCATGGATTCAACGGAAATCTATGATATGAGGTCCAATTTGGTTTAAATATCTAAGCTTATTGTAAATATGGATCATAGGTTTCAGTATGTCATTTCATCTTGTTGATCCTATACCTGCTACTGACAGGTGTTGTGTACTTGTCAGTGACTCGTTCTATGATATGCAAAATGGTCGATTGCTGCCATGAAAACCATTTTTATGGTTACTGATGTATCAAGTGCATAAGGTTAGATTAAAGTGACTGTGTGCCTCAAGAGGGGTTACCGTCTCATTATTTATCCAGTTTTAAATGGATACAAGCTCAAAATATAAATCTACATGTAAGTAAAGTTGTGAATTTCTGTGATCCTTAGCAAAGTGTGAGTAGTATATAATGCTGAGACATTTTCTCTGTTATCGTAATCATGACAATCAAAACTAAAAATAAATCTGTCATCAATCATAAACCTGTTAACAATTATTACTTATACCTAGAAATTCCATACTTACACTGATTGGAGCATTGTAAACCGACCCAGCCATCTTTACATCCATAGGTACACTTTCCGCTCTTCTCTTGGCATTCGGAAATAGCAGCTGTTTCGTTCGTAGAAGTGTGGTTGACTCGACAGTTTTCACTGCAATTCTTACTGCAGAAAGGGCCATAAAACCCAGGTAGGCATCCATGGAAACAACGAAAGTTGCATGGTTTTATACATCGATCACATGAATACTCGCAGTTCCGGCCGAAATATGGCGGATGGCACTCCCAACATGCCCCTGATGTCCTGTTGCATGTTTTGCATCTGTCAGAACACTTCTTGCAGTCAGATCCGTAGTGCCCATCACTGCAGCCAGACACACAGGACACAGCGTCCAGATAACAGTACTCTCCATCACAACCACCTGGACATTCTGTACATCCACCGCCTGGACTGTCACATGGTATGAGGCACCTTCCGCCCTGGTATCCAGACGCACATCCTTCGGAACACACGCCAATGCCAGTAGCTGAAGATTGGCATAGGTTTCCCTTGCACGTCTTACTGCAGACAGATTTGCACTTCAGGACGAAATAGCCATGGTCACATTGTGTGAGACACTGTCCCGAGATGTTACTACAGTCTGAACAGTGCTGACCGTCTCTGCATGGTGCAACTGGAACAGATTTCTGAAAGTCTCAAACTAGTTTGAGTAATGATAGGGGCAGTAGGGTAGCCTCGTGGTTAAAGCTTTCGCTCGTCACCCTGAAGACCCCGGTTCGATTTCTCACATGGGTACAATGTGTGAAGCTCATTTCTGGTGTCCCTCGCCGTTATATTACCGGGATATTGCTAAAAGCGGCGTAAAACAAAACTCTCTCACGCACATAATGATATAAATGTCAATAATAGTGATGAGATGTAAACAATAGCATTACGTAATTGAAGTGTTATTCAGTATATAGCAATGTTACAAACTGGATTTACCTTGTGAGATCCCAACAATGCAAGCAAGTGACAACAGCTCCAATATTTCCATGCAATTTTCTTTCTGAAAAAAGTGGAAACCAAATTGTTTCTCAAAAATGTTAAGACAGCGTTGTATGCAAAATGAAATGTACCCAGAGCAGAACTGGGGGAGAGTTTTAAACATACACAATGAACACACGAAAGTCACGACATGACCTTATGCTTGTAGTTACAGATTGGCGATGTTTGGGGTTGATTCCATGTTCCTTGTCAGCAGGAAACAAAGCACACTATGTTTCGAAGCCATTCAAGTTTTTCAGGAAACATTTACTATAAATAAAACACATTGGTTTCCGTACGGGCGAATGTTTGGTTTCACAAGCGTCTGTGTCGGTTTCTCGGGCTCTGGGGTTAGAAACCCAAAAATCATTACTGAATGTAAATCAGACATAATGACTGAATATAGGTTGTGTGTATTTTGACATCAGGTATTGAAAATGTTTTAGAAAGAAATCCTAATCATTGTCATCGTTTGGTACCCAAAACCTTTCTGTTCAGACTTGCCTTCTCTGTGTAACTTCTCGCACCTCCTCTCAGACATGTGCGCTTAGAGAATGTACTGTGCATGGGTTCAGCGCGTTACAAGTGGACTATTATTATTATTATTATTATTATTATTATTAATAATCTGCTACAAATAGGGCGGTGGGGTAGCCTAGTGGTTAAAGCGTTGGCTCGTCACACCGAAGACCCGGATTCGATTCCCCTCATGGGTACAATGTGTGAAGCCAATTTATGGTGTCCCCCGTCGTGATATTGCTGGAATATTGCTAAAAGCGGCGTAAAACTAAACTCACACAGTCAGTCAGTCAGTTAATCTGCTAAAACATTTGTCATTGCCATAGTGAGCTTCCAACTTCTTTAAATAAGTGGCGATACACGATGAGCATGTGAAAACATCGCTTCCAACTTCTTTAAACAAGTGGCGATACCGATGAGCATGTCCCACCATCGCTTCCAACTTCTTTAAATAAGTGGCGATACCCGATGAGCATGTCCCACCATCGCTTCCAACTTCTTTAAATAAGTGACGATACCCGATGAGCATGTCCCACCATCGCTTCCAACTTCTTTAAATAAGTGGCGATACCCGATGAGCATGTCCCACCATCGCTTCCAACTTCTTTAAATAAGTGGCGATACCCGATGAGCATGTCCCACCATCGCTTCCAACTTCTTTAAATAAGTGGCGATACCCGATGAGCATGTCCCATCATCGCTTCCAACTTCTTTAAATAAGTGGCGATACCCGATGAGCATGTCCCACCATCGCTTCCAACTTCTTTAAATAAGTGACGATACCCGATGAGCATGCCCAACCATCGCTTCCAACTTCTTTAAATAAGTAGTAGCATGTCCCACCATGGCGATACCCGATGAGCATATCCCAACCATCGCTTCCAACTTCTTTAAATACTAGTAAGTGGCGATACCCGATGAGCATATCCCACCATCGCTTCCAACTTCTTTAAATAAGTGGCGATACCCGATGAGCATATCCCACCATCGCTTCCAACTTCTTTAAATAAGTGGCGATACCCGATGAGCATGTCCCACCATCGCTTCCAACTTCTTTAAATAAGTGACGATACCCGATGAGCATGTCCCACCATCGCTTCCAACTTCTTTAAATACTAGTAAGTGGCGATACCCGATGAGCATATCCCACCATCGCTTCCAACTTCTTTAAATAAGTGGCGATACCCGATGAGCATATCCCACCATCGCTTCCAACTTCTTTAAATAAGTGACGATACCCGATGAGCATGTCCCACCATCATATTTTTGCCCATAGTTTTGTAATGCCAACACATTTTCCAATAACAATGTACATGTATTCTCTTTGCAGTAACCTTTCCTGATTTGTAAACCTGTAACCGTTGTTTGTTGCAATTGTTTGTTGTTGTTTTTTTGTTTTTGTTTTGGTTTTTTTGTTGTTTTTTTTGTTTCCATTTTTATGTTACAATTTCCATTGAAGCAGCTTTATGTTCAATTGAAAGTATTTTAAGTGTACAGTGAGTAGTGTTGATGTAAATACATAATGTGTACATTACCTCTTATATATATATAGTACACATATATACAAAATACATGTAGTTACAGTCAGTCAGTTATAGTATTTCGAAAAAGTAAATGGAAGGATGACCAGAAAGAATGAAAACTTGCATAGTTACAATTAGAAAAGGCAATAAATTTTGAGATTTTATAATATTTTAATACTTCTTTTTGAAACCATATAAAATTAGGTTTCACTGCTTTCTTACTACATTTATACAACATATATTTGATTATTATTATCACCACATTAAGAGGATTATTATGTTTACCTTTAAATCCAAATAATATATGTTCTTCACTTAAATGAATTTTACTTTCGATGTATCCTTCAATCCATTTAGTAAATTTTGTCCACATATCTATTGCATATTGACAATTACAAAGCACATGTGCTATAGTTTCAGCTGGATCTTTACACAATGAACATCCTGGTGACTTAAAATAGCCAATCTTATATAAATAACAATTAGTGCTGAGAATATTATGTAGAATCTTAAACTGAAACCATCTTAAGTCACTGCTTTGTGTACATCTTTTTGCCATCAAACTATAGTTTATCCATTCTGTTTCAGTAATGTGTTTATTAAGATAAAGCTCCCATTTGCTATAGCTTTTAAGTTTTGTAAATTTAGAATTTTGCAACATTTCATAAAATAATCTACTACTGGTACTGTTGATTTTAGAAATATTATTTGACTAAAGTTAATTCTTTGTAAGTATTGGGCGATAGATTGTTTCAACCCTTGAAATGTTAAAAAGTCTGTATTCAAAGCATATTTTTGAATAAATTCATGGAAATTAAACCAATTTCCTGTATCGTTGAAGAAATCGTTAATATATGTTATACCTTTTTCATACCAATGGGAGAAATATACTGGCTTATTATCAATTGTTATGTTATTATTGTACCAGATTGACTTATTCAATACATCCGTAACAGATAGTTCCATATTATCACAACAATTTAAATATGATGCATATACTGACAGTGTTTCTTTCCAAAATTGGTTGTGGATATTTTGGACAATATTGTTTTCTATGTAGAAAGCATCAGCCAAATTTACTATTTTTGCCTCAACTAAATGATCATAAAAGAAGCATGCCCATTTGGACTTACTAACAGATAGTCTTTTGATCCAACAAAGTTTCTGAGCTGCAATAACTCTTTCTAATATGGGTACACTTATGCCACCATACTTAGGCTGTAGTGACATTGTATCTCTCTTAACTTTATCTGGTTTAAATTTCCAAACAAACTGAAAACATTTCTGTTGAAAAGCTTCTATTACATTTTTAGGTGGGCTTGGTATACTGCTGAATAAATGGTTTAGTTTAGGTAGTAATAATGATTTTAACACAATATTTCTACCCATTGGTGTTAAAGTTCTCTTTGCCCAATGTTCCATTTCTTTTCAATATTATCTAATTTATTTACATAGTTCAGATTAACCATATTTCCTTAATCAATATCAAATTCAATACCTAATAGCTTAAACTGTGTTTGTGTCCAGTCTAACTTATACTCTTTACAGAGTTTGTATCTTGATCTCTTTTTGGAACCTATCCATATCAATTTTGTTTTTCCTTGTTTACTTTTAATCCTGAAAATCTAGCAAAAAAGGATAATGTACTCATTGTAGAGTAGAGACTTTTTTCTGATCCATCTAAACTAAGGGTGGTATCATCTGCAAATTGTGCTAGAAGGGAATATATATTACCAAGTTTTAATCCTGTTATATTTTTATGATTTCTTAACATTATTGCTAGGATTTCTGCGCATGATATGAAGAGATATGGTGATATAGGATCCCCCTGACGACAACCTCTTGTAACCTTAAAGAAGGGGCTTGCAAAACCATTAACCAAAACACTTGTTTCAATGTTTTCGAAAAATAATTTTATCCAATTTTGAATACTGGGCCCAAAGGAGAAAAAGTTAAGTACATTATGTATAAATTTTCTATCCACAGAATCAAATGCCTTTTCAAAATCAATAAGTAGTAGTAAGCCTGGTATCTGGTATGATTCTGTATAGTCTAATATATCATAAATAAATCTAGTCACTTCACCTATATATCTACCCGATACGAAACCCTTTTGATCCTCATGGATAAGCAGTGGTACGATTGGCTTTATTATATTTGCAATTGTCGATGCAGCTAATTTATAAGTAGTATTTAAAAGAGTGATAGGGCGCCAATTTTTTAGAAAGAGTTTTGATTTGTTTTCTTTAGGCAAGCAAGTGATTAGACCTTGTTTTTGGGTAGTAGATAAGGCCCCTGTTTTATATGCATAATTTAAAGCATTTATCAAATATTTATTGAGGTCTAACCAAAAGAACTTTAAAAATTCTGCTGTGAAGCCATCTGGGCCAGGACTCTTATCATTTTTCATTTTTTTTAGTGCTTCAAGTACTTCATTATAGGTCAGCTCCCTTTCTAAGGGAAGTGATGTTTGACAGTCTAACCTAGGCACTGATACTTTAGCAAAAAGGTTTTCCAGATCAATCTGTGTACAGTCTTCAGTTTCATACAGTTTTTCATAAAAATGTTTCACTTCTTGAATGATTTCATGTTGTTTCCTCAATAACGTTCCATCTGGTTTTTCAAGAGCTGAGATAGATTTAGTTAGAAAATTTCTACTTTCTAATTTTAAAAAGTAATTGGATGGTTTTTCTCCATGTTCTATCCACTTGGCTTTTGATCTAATAAAGGAGCCTTGTGTTTTTACTTTATGTAAGTTTTCTAATTCAAGTTTAGTTGATTTGTATTCTTCTAGTAATACGTCTGACTGTCTACCAGCTACGTCTCCCAGTTTAATCTCAATTTCACTTAGTTTCTGTTCTAGATTCGATTCCAAAGCTAGATATTCCTTTTTACGAGTGGATGAAAAAAGTATTGATGTTCCTCTAATATTTAAAAGTAACATCTCCCATAATAACTGATCATTTATTGTAAACATCTTTCCATCTTTAACAGTTTTGTCTTCGTATTGTTCAAGAGTGTTATTTATTGGGTTTTTTAATCATTTCTACATATTCCTTGTCCTTTAGTAATGAATTATTGAATTTCCAGAATCCTTTTCCCCTTTGCATATCCGAAAGTGAAATTGTAAGAGATACTATAGAGTGATCTGAGTTTATACTAGGTATGATATCACTTTTCTCAATGGACTGGAGAATATTATGGGAAACTAGAAAATAGTCTAAACGAGCTTGCTTTAATGGTGTTGGTTGTCGCCAGGTGAATCTTCGAGCTGATGGGTAAAACTATCGCCATGGGTCTTTAAGATCTAATATATCAATTGTTTTGAGTAATTCCTGTCTTGCTTTAGGGTTATTTATATGTTTATAATTGTAAGTATCTTTATCAGGGTCTAAAACTAAATTCCAATCTCCACACATAATAGGTTTATCACATGTTAAATTCCCAGCAATTTATTTTATTTTCCTAATAAACTCAGGTTTATCAGAATTAGGCCCATAGAGATTGATTACAGTAAATATCTTATCATCAATGCTAACATCTACTGCTACATAGTTACCATCTTCTTTATCAAACTTGCATTGTAGTACTTTAAATTCAAAGGTATTATTAAATAAGATTGCTGTACCTCTTGCATTACTTCTAAATGGACTAATGTAGCATTCTTTATAACCCCACTGCTGTTTTATGATTTGTTCTTTATCAGCTGTGAAATGCACATCTTGCAAGCAATAAATATGTGCCTTTTTTATTTTTTAAAAACCTGAAACTTGTTTCCTTTTGAAACTATTATTTAAGCCTCTACAATTTATAGATACTATCTTAAATTTTCCTTTTGAGTTTGTCATGAGGATAAAATGGTGTATACATCTTATAGCAACTATTTTCAAAACTGTACACTGTTTTTCTGAGATGGAAAATGCATATTTTGTCAAAAACAAACAAACATAAGAAATTATACAAGTACATAGGAAGTTTGCTTCCTGACTGGATATTGTATCCGCCACACAAATAAAAAGTACACATCATGAAACTCGGGTTTTCTCAACTTTCTGTCTCATGCAGAACTTACATAGACATTGCATTTATAGTCTAATCATAAATGAAAACTGTAGTTAGCCAGTTGCTCTGGGATAATTAACGAACATTACCGTTTCCTACATGTAAGCCACGTTTTGGAAGTTATCATCAGAAATCTTACTTACATTAAAACAGAGTTCATACTTGTGAGGTGAATAAATGTTCAGAAAACATGTGCTGTGTGTCCTTCACCTTCAAAATCCAAAACATCCGGTTGGTGTCACGTGTTCTCTGTTTGTAAACAAATACACGTGGTTTGCTATCGTGTTTTACTGTCGAATAAAATTGTCGTTCCTCTGTCCATTGCTTATCTAGCCCTGACAACAATCCTACAAGCATAAACAGATTCCATCGGATTCCCACACGAGGTTGTGATAAAAAGCAATCAATTATATAATCAAACAAATTCAAAGCACAGTTTCAAAGAAACAGAAGTCAACAGAACAATCATTGACACGCGAACCAGCAACACTGTGGGCGTTGCTGTATTATAAGTTTTGATCCAATTATATTGGCTTCCAAGAAGAGTCACTGTTTTCCCTGTATTCAAGGATAACTCCTCTGGCAGATTCGTGTTTGCACCTTGTGTTCTGTACGTAGGGTGTATGCCTTAGCTGCAAGCTTCCCCCGGTATTTCTTGAGGGGGACGGGCAGGTCTGTTCTTATAGATATTTTCCTTTTCCTGAGAGTGGATGAATTCTTGTAACTGGCTTGCAGTACCTCCTGTCTATCGGACATATGTACAAACTTTACTACAATTGGTTTGGGGGAGTTTTTGGTGTGCTCGTTTGTACTCTGCCGAGGTAGGCGATGAATGGCGACAACGCTGGGTGACGAGGTAACACCGATATCAGCGAAAAGTTTTCCACACGCTGTGTCTGGCTGTTCTCCGTCGGGAATGCCATACACAAGTAAATTCTGCTTACGAGAATACAGCTCCTGTGTTAAGAGTTTTGCTTCCATGTCTTTTTTATATTCATTGAATTCTCTTCTCAGTGACTCAATCTCATTCTTGTTTACATTAATGTGTTCAGTATTCATGTCAACATTCTTTACCAGATTATCTGTTACCTCACGAATCTTCATTAATTCTTCATTTATCTGTTCCATTTTCTGTGTAAGCACGGATGTTTGCATACTTAGGGCTTCTTTAATGAATGTTTTCATGTCGTCATTTTGTTTAGTTTTGTCTCCTACCTCGTTTTCGAATTCACTGTTGGTATCATTTTCTGTTTCATCCGTCGTTGTAAGTAAATATTCGTCCATTTTTCCTGTTGATTGTGCTTCCTTGTTGTCTGTTTTACCACGTTTAGAACCTTTTCGTGTTCCCGACATTGTGTTCAAGTCAGATTGTGGCGGATTACGGGAGCTGATTCGTCTAGCGACCTGTCGCCATGAGCGTCAAACAGGAAGCCACTGCATGATCATTTGCATTTGTTTGTTAGTTTGTCAATTGTTTTACATGACGTTTCAGGGTTGAGTTGTTGCTATATTTGAAAGTTCACGAATAGCGTTTTCGTCGTTACACAAGACATTAATAAAAATCGGCAACTTTAGCATTTTATTATCTATTTTTTATTATTTATTGTAGTTACTACCGATATTTGTTTTGTTTTCCAACAGGTAAAGCAGCAACTTCCGCGATGTGGCTACTTGCAGTTTTACTGGGGATCAGTGAGTACATGTGATATATCTATATCGTAGGGGAAGATGCTTTAGCTCCAATTCAGGCATTAAGCTAGGGTCCATGCAGGAAGCAAATGTACTGTAAGTCCCCATAGTCCCTAGTATGGTGATCTACTTTCAGTTCTTGGCAATATATAGCTTGTTTTTATATTGTATTGTCTTCTATAGTTAATGTTTGTTAGCTTTTCATACTAGTTTTATATCTATATCTCTGATCCTCTAGTGTTTTACTGTCCTTTGGTTTTATAACTTGACTTTAGTTATTACAACTTTATGTATTATTCAAATCCTCGTCACGATATGGCTGCAATATTGCCGATGTTACGTTAAATTTTTACTCACTCACTCACTCCAATTCAGACTAAGGGTCATAGAGCACACATGAGGTCAAACTGTCTTCAAATTTTGCAAATCGATGTTACCATGCGTCATTACTATTTGTCTGTTTTAATGGGCGGTGGGGTAGCCTAATGGTTAAAGCGTTGGCTCGTCACGCCGAAGACCCGGGTTCGAATCCCCACATGGGCACAATGTGTGAAGCCCATTTCTGGTGTCCCCCGCCGTGATGTTGCTGGAATATTGCTAAAAACGGCGTAAAACCAAACTCAGTCAGTCAGTCAGTCAGTCTGTTTTAATATGTAACAACAATTCTCTTCCAGCTTTACCGGTGCATGGCGATGAGGGATGCGACTGGGGAATGTATGGCGAGAACTGCGACAGGACCTGCCCCTCCAACTGTGCCATTGTCCCACCCAGAAACCTCAGTTACTGTCAGAAGTACACAGGGAAATGTTCTGAGGGATGTGTTCGTGGTTACCATGGCGACCAGTGTAACATATTCTGCAGCGGAGGCTGTTTAAACGAAACCTGCAATACCGGAGATGGATATTGTACGTTAGGTTGTAAACAGACCTACATCGGGGATTTCTGCAATGAGACTTCAGGTACAGTAGTTCATGTAGGACCTAAACTTTCTTAACTGCTTTATCATCGAAGACAATAAATAGAAAATCATAAATATGCATTTCATATATTACTTCTTGGTAGGTAGGTACGTACGTCCCAAAACATTCCAAGTGTATTTAAGTCTAACAGGATTTTAATCGTAGTATTTTTGTCATTTTAATGTATGGCTAAATCTCAGCATAAATGCCACGTCGCTAACGGCTGAAGGGATGGTGTAAGTCCAGCTAGGGTCCATACAGGTAGCAAAAGTACTGTAAGTCCCCATGGACTCTAGTATGGGGATCTACCTTCAGTCGTTGGCGATCAATAGCACATTTTTACATTGTATTGTCCAAAATAGATTTTTACTTTTAAAGATATCTGCTATCTAGTTTTAACCCATTTTGTGATAATCTAGCAATTTTACTGTCCTTCGTTCACAGGGTTTTATATATCATATGTATTTATCATGAATTAAGAACTAGTTTGAGTCACGATATGGCTGTAATATTGCCTATGTGACTTTAAATCTTCACTCACTCACTTACTCACTCACTAACTCACTCACTCTTGGTAGGTAGCGATTTTTGAAACACATGTTAAAGTAAGGTGCAGTGAAGATTCCAAACCTTGACATTTTATGAGGCAATTTTTAACCTTTATGTATTTAATTGCATAACATATAAAATTGCATTGCAAAATATATTGTTGTAAACTAGGCTATTGATGGTTACGCCTTTAATTAAACAGGTTTCCGTTTTTCTTCGTTTTGAAATCATTTTTCGTATACACAACCACGACAACAGCGAATCTTTCTGAGATCCTTGTCCCAATGTTCCTTGTTAGGACCATGGGTTGCTGGGGATAAATTTGAAAATGGATGTTCACAGGTGTAATACTTCATGGTTACATAGACAATCATATGGATAGCACATATCTCATATTAATCTGACATACGGATGTTTATTTATCGTGGATGTTTATTATTATTATTGTTTTTCAACAGGTATTTTGGCAGTCCCATCAACAGTGACAACCACGGCAGCCCCCGATGACAACAATCTTGCTGCTATCCTTGTCCCAGTGTTCCTCATTATCCTCATCGTCTGTATCATCCTTGCTGTGGTAGTGTTCAGACTGTAAGTGTATATTCCTCATTATCCTCATCGTCTGTATCACCCTAGCTGTGGTGGTGTTCAGACTGTAAGTGTATATTCCTCATTATCCTCATCGTCTGTTTCATCCTAGCTGTGGTGGTGTTCAAACTGTAAGAGTATACTCCTCATTATCCTCATCGTTTGTATCATCCTAGCTGTGGTGGTGTTCAAACTCTAAGTGTATATTCCTCAATATCCTCATCGTCTGTATCACCCTTGCTGTGGTGATGTTCAGACTGTAAGTGTATATTCCTCATCATCTTCATCGTCTGTGTCGTCCTTGCTCTGGTGGTGTTCAAACTGTAAGTGTATATTCCTCATTATCTTCATCGTCTGTATCACCCTTGCTGTGGTGATGTTCAGAGTGTAAGTGTATATTCGTCATTATCCTCATCGTCTGTATCACCCTTGCTTTGGTGGTGTTCAGACTCTAAGTGTTTATTCCTCATTATCCTCATCGTCTGTATCACCCTTGCTGTGGTGGTGTTCAGACTGTAAGTATATATTCCTCATTATCTTCATCGTCTGTATCATCCTAGCTGTGGTGGTGTTCAAACTGTAAGTGTATATTCCTCATTATCCTCATCGTCTGTGTCGTCCTTGCTCTGGTGATGTTCAAACTGTAAGTGTATATTCCTCATTATCTTCATCGTCTGTATCACCCTTGCTGTGGTGATGTTCAGAGTGTAAGTGTATTCCTCATTATCCTCATCGTCTGTATCACCCTTGCTGTGCTGGTGTTCAGACTGTAAGTGTATATTCCTCATTATCCTCATCGTCTGTATCACCCTTGCTGTGGTGGTGTTCAGACTGTAAGTGTATATTCCTCATTATCCTCATCGTCTGTGTCGTCCTTGCTGTGGTGGTCATCAAACTGTAAGTGTATATTCCTCATTATCCTCATCGTCTGTATCATCCTTGCTGTGGTGGTGCTCAGACTGTAAGTGTATATTCCTCATTATCCTCATCGTCTGTATCATCCTTGCTGCGGTGGTTTTCAGACTGTAAGTGTATATTCCTCATTATCCTCATCGTCTGTATCATCCTAGCTGTGGTGGTGTTCAAACTGTAAGTATATATTCCTCATTATCTTCATCGTCTGTATCATCCTAGCTGTGGTGGTGTTCAAACCGTTAGTGTATATTCCTCATTCTCCTCATCGTCAGTGTCGCCCTGGCTGTGGTGGTGTTCAAACTGTAAGTGTATGTTCCTCATTATCTTCATCGTCTGTATCACCCTTGCTGCGGTGGTGTTCAGACTCTAAGTGTTTATTCCTCATTATCCTCATCGTCTCTATCACCCTTGCTGTGGTGGTGTTCAGACTGTAAGTGTATATTCCTCATTATCCTCATCGTCTGTATCATCCTTGCTGTGGTGGTGTTCAGACTGTAAGTGTATATTCCTCATTATCCTCATCGTCTGTATCGTCCTAGCTGTGGTGGTGTTCAGACTGAAAGTGTATATTCCTCATTATCCTCATCGTCTGTATCACCCTTGCTGTGGTGGTGTTCAGACTGTAAGTGTATATTCCTCATTATCCTCATCGTCTGTATCATCCTTGCTGTGGTGATGTTCAGACTGTAAGTGTATATTCCTCATTATCCTCATCGTCTGTATCATCCTTGCTGTGGTGGTGTTCAAACTGTAAGTGTATATTCCTCATTTTCCTCATCGTCTGTATCACCCTTGCTGTGGTGGTGTTCAGACTGTAAGTGTATATTCCTCATTATCCTCATCGTCTCTCTCACCCGAGCTGTGGTGGTGTTCAAACTGTAAGTGTATATTTCTCATTATCCTCATCGTCTGTATCACCCGAGCTGTGGTGATGTTCAGACTGTAAGTGTATATTCCTCATTATCCTCATCGTCTGTATCACCCTTGCTTTGGTGCTGTTCAGACTCTAAGTGTTTATTCCTCATTATCCTCATCGTCTGTATCACCCTTGCTGTGGTGGTGTTCAGACTGTAAGTGTATATTCCTCATTATCCTCATCGTCTGTATCGTCCTAGCTGTGGTGGTGTTCAGACTGAAAGTGTATATTCCTCATTATCTTCATCGTCTGTATCACCCTTGCTGTGGTGATGTTCAGAGTGTAAGTGTATATTCCTCATTATCCTCATCGTCTGTATCACCCTTGCTGTGGTGGTGTTCAGACTGTAAGTGTTTATTCCTCATTATCCTCATCGTCTGTATCACCCTTGCTGTGCTGGTGTTCAGACTGTAAGTGTATATTCCTAATTATCTTCATCGTCTGTATCATCCTAGCTGTGGTGGTGTTCAAACTGTAAGTGTATATTCCTCATTATCCTCATCGTCTGTGTCGTCCTTGCTGTGGTGGTCATCAAACTGTAAGTGTATATTCCTCATTATCCTCATCGTCTGTATCATCCTTGCTGTGGTGGTGCTCAGACTGTAAGTGTATATTCCTCATTATCCTCATCGTCTGTAGCATCCTTGCTGCGGTGGTTTTCAGACTGTAAGTATATATTCCACATTATCTTCATCGTCTGTATCATCCTAGCTGTGTTGGTGTTCAAACCGTAAGTGTATATTCCTCATTCTCCTCATCGTCAGTGTCGTCCTGGCTGTGGTGGTGTTCAAACTGTAAGTGTATATTCCTCATTATCTTCATCGTCTGTATCACCCTTGCTGTGGTGATGTTCAGGGTGTAAGTGTATATTCCTCATTATCCTCATCGTCTGTATCACCCTTGCTGCGGTGGTGTTCAGACTCTAAGTGTTTATTCCTCATTATCCTCATCGTCTCTATCACCCTTGCTGTGGTGGTGTTCAGACTGTAAGTGTATATTCCTCATTATCCTCATCGTCTGTATCATCCTTGCTGTGGTGGTGTTCAGACTGTAAGTGTATATTCCTCATTATCCTCATCGTCTGTATCGTCCTAGCTGTGGTGGTGTTCAGACTGAAAGTGTATATTCCTCATTATCCTCATCGTCTGTATCATCCTAGCTGTGGTGTTGTTCAGTCTGTAACTGTATATTCCTCATTATCCTCATCGTCTGTATCTCCCGAGCTGCGGTGGTGTTCAAACTGTAAGTATATATTCCACATTACCTTCATCGTCTGTATCATCCCAGCTGTGTTGGTGTTCAAACTGTAAGTGCATATTCCTCATTCTCCTCATCGTCAGTGTCGTCCTGGCTGTGGTGGTGTTCAAACTGTAAGTGTATATTCCTCATTATCTTCATCGTCTGTATCACCCTTGCTGTGGTGATGTTCAGGGTGTAAGTGTATATTCCTCATTATCCTCATCGTCTGTATCACCCTTGCTTTGGTGGTGTTCAGACTCTAAGTGTTTATTCCTCATTATCCTCATCGTCTCTATCACCCTTGCTGTGGTGGTGTTCAGACTGTAAGTGTATATTCCTCATTTTCCTCATCGTCTGTATCATCCTTGCTGTGGTGGTGTTCCGACTGTAAGTGTATATTCCTCATTATCCTCATCGTCTGTATCGTCCTTGCTGTGGTGGTGTTCAGACTGAAAGTGTATATTCCTCATTATCCTCATCGTCTGTATCACCCTTGCTGTGGTGGTGTTCAGACTCTAAGTGTTTATTCCTCATTATCCTCATCGTCTCTATGACCCTTGCTGTGGTGGTGTTCAGACTGTAAGTGTATATTCCTCATTATCCTCATCGTCTGTATCACCCGAGCTGTGGTGGTGTTCAAACTGTAAGTGTATATTCCTCATTATCCTCATCGTCTGTATCACCCTTGCTGTGGTGGTGTTCAGACTGTAAGTGTATATTCCTCATTATCCTCATCGTCTGTATCACCCGAGCTGTGGTGGTGTTCAAACTGTAAGTGTATATTCCTCATTATCCTCATCGTCTGTATCACCCTTGCTGTGGTGGTGTTCAGACTGTAAGTGTATATTCCTCATTATCCTCATCGTCTGTATCATCCTTGCTGTGGTGTTGTTCAGGCTGTAAGTGTATATTCCTCATTATCCCCATCGTCTGTATCTCCCAAGCTGTGGTGGTTTTCAAACTGTAAGTGTATATTCCTCATTATCCTCATCGTCTGTATCACCCGAGCTGTGGTTGTGTTCAAACTGTTAGTGTATATTTCCCATTATCCTCATCGTCTCTATCACCCTTGCTGTGGTGGTTTTCAGACTGTAAGTGTATATTCCTCATTATCCTCATCGTCTGTATCATCCTTGCTGTGGTGGTGTTCAGACTGTAAGTGCATATTCCTCATTATCCTCATCCTCTGTATCACCCTTGCTGTGATGGTGTTCAGACTGTAAGTGTATATTCCTCATTATCCTCATCGTCTGTATCATCCTTGCTGTGGTGGTGTTCAAACTGTAAATGTATATTCCTCATTATCTTCATCGTCTGTGTCATCCTAGCTCTGGTGGTGATCAAACTGTAAGTGTATGTTCCTCATTATCCTCATCGTCTGTATCGCCCTTGCTGTGGTGATGTTCAGAGTGTAAGTGTATATTCCTCATTATCCTCATCGTCTGTATCACCCTTGCTGTGGTGGTGTTCAGACTGTAAGTGTTTATTCCTCATTATCCTCATCGTCTCTATCACCCTTGCTGTGGTGGTGTTCAGACTGTAAGTGTTTATTCCTCATTATCCTCATCGTCTTTATCACCCTTGCTGTGGTGGTGTTCAGACTGTAAATATATATTCCTCATTATCCTCATCGTCTGTATCATCCTTGCTGTGGTGGTGTTCAAACTGTAAGTGTATATTCCTCATTATCTTCATCGTCTGTATCATCCTAGCTGTGGTGGTGTTCAAACTGTAAGTGTATATTCCTCATTATCCTCATCGTCTGTGTCGTCCTGGCTGTGGTGGTGTTCAAACTGTAAGTGTATATTCCTCATTATCCTCATCGTCTGTATCATCCTAGCTGTGGTGGTGTTCAGACTCTAAGTGTATATTCCTCATTATCCTCATCGTCTGTATCACCCGAGCTGTGGTGGTGTTCAAACTGTAAGTGTATATTCCTCATTATCCTAATCGTCTGTATCATCCTTGCTGTGGTGTTGTTCAGGCTGTAAGTGTATATTCCTCATTATCCTCATCGTCTGTATCTCCCGTGCTGTGGTGGTGTTCAAACTGTAAGTGTATATTCCTCATTATCCTCATCGTATGTATCACCCTTGCTGTGGTGGTGTTCAGACTGTAAGTGTACATTCCTCATTATCCTCATCGTCTGTATCACCCTTGCTGTGGTGGTGTTCAGACTCTAAGTGTATATTCCTCATTATCCTCATCGTCTGTATCACCCTTGCCGTGGTGGTGTTCAAACTGTAAGTGTATATTCCTCATTATCCTCATCGTCTGTATCGTCCTAGCTGTGGTGGTGTTCAGACTGTAAGTGTATATTCCTCATTATCCTCATCGTCTGTATCACCCTTGCTGTGGTGGTGTTCAGACTGTAAGTGTATATTCCTCATTATCCTGACCGTCTGTATCGCCCTTACTGTGGTGGTGTTCAGACTATAAGTGTATATTCCTCATTATCTTCATCGTCTGTATCACCCTTGCTGTGGTGGTGTTCAGACTGTAAGTGTATATTCCTCATTATCCTCATCGTCTGTATCACCCTTGCTGTGGTGGTGTTCAGACTGTAAGTGTATGTTCCTCATTATCCTCATCGTCTGTATCCTCCTTGCTGTGGTGGTGTTCAAACTGTAAGTGTATATTCCTCATTATCCTCATCGTCTGTATCATCCTAGCTGTGGGGGTGTTCAGACTGTAAGTGTATATTCCTCATTATCCTCATCGTCTGTATCATCCTTGCTGTGGTGTTGTTCAGGCTGTAAGTGTATATTCCTCATTATCCTCATCGTCTGTATCTCCCGAGCTGTGGTGGTGTTCAAACTGTAAGTGTATATTCCTCATTATCCTCATCGTCTGTATCACCCTTACTGTGGTGGTGTTCAGACTGTAAGTGTATATTCCTCATTATCCTCATCGTTTGTATCATCCTTACTGCGGTGGTTTTCAGACTGTAAGTGTTTATTCCTCATTATCCTCATCGTCTGTATCATCCTAGCTGTGGTGGTGTTCAGACTGTAAGTGTATATTCCTCATTATCCTCATCGTCTGTATCACTCTTGCTGTGGTGGTGTTCAGACTGTAAGTGTATATTCCTCATTATCCTCATCGTCTGTATCATGCTTGCAGCGGTGGTTTTCAGACTGTAAGTGTATATTCCTCATTATCCTCATCGTCTGTATCACCTTTGCTGTGGTGGTGTTCAAACTGTAAGTGTATATTCCTCATTATCCTCATCGTCTGTATCACCCTTGCTGTGGTGGTGTTCAGACTGTAAGTGTATATTCCTCATTATCCTCATCGTCTGTATCATCCTAGCTGTGGTGATGTTCAGACTGTAAGTGTATATTCTACTCTATAAATGTGCATCACTTCGACAGTCTACAAAGCACCAACATTCTTCTGTCATTTAAACAAATGAACGAAAATAAATCTGCCCAAACATTTATTTAAAATTATTTTGAATTTCAAAAACGCAAACAAATGAAAGTGGATTATTTATGTTAGGATTAAACGTCACCCATTTAATTAATCAAACATGTAGACACTTTCGTATCCTTTCAATTTTCTGTGATGTGTCATGAAAGTATTCATCACAATGTTTGGAATTTGTCATCAACGATTAAACAGACAACTGATTTGTAAACGAACTTATATATCCAGGCGTTTATTGAACAGCATAAGCTAAAATTCATTCTCAACATTGTCAGACTGCAACATATGTACTCCTGGGTTAAATCGTCGCATGGGGGTATACACTAATCTTCACTGACACTTTTCTCTAATGTATGACATGTATGATATGTAGGACACAGAATGTAGAGAACATGCTACCTTTAGTGGAACAACACTGTCTTACATTGTTCCATGTAAGTATGAAAATCTGTGGAACATATTACCTTTAGTGAAACAACACTGTCTTACATTATTCCATGTAAGTATGAAACTCTGTGGAACATATTACCTTTAGTGAAACAACACTGTCTTACATTGTTCCATGTAAGTATGAAACTCTGTGGAACATATTACCTTTAGTGAAACAACACTGTCTTACATTGTTCCATGTAAGTATGAAACTCTGTGGAACATATTACCTTTAGTGAAACAACACTGTCTTACATTGTTCCATGTAAGTATGAAACTCTGTGGAACATATTACCTTTAGTGAAACAACACTGTCTTACATTGTTCCATGTCAGTATGAAACTGTGTAGATGTTCATAAGCATACCTTTAACACTTCAATTTTACTTCCGATTCATTTCCAGGAGATCGAGGAGAAGGGCAGAATCGAACAGAAGATATCCCAATAACGAATACAGGTAACTATAACTCGTAACGATAATGAATAGCCTACTTGGGTCACAGTGGAATACACTGGGCGTAAATGAAAAATATGAATGGTAAAGAAATGCCTTGTCATCAACATCTAAATATGTGTACATACATTGACACGACTGTTGAATGAGCAAACTGTAAACTGAGCTGAAGCTCAAGTTGTGACCACGTGCAACTAAATATGAAATACAAAGTATAATTCAGATGTTTTCTTTTCTTTGCAGTACTCCTGAAGCTGGTAAGTATGCCTCAGTTCAGTCAAATTAAGATCTTTTGGGCGTCATGTCTGTCTGTCTGTCCGTGTATTGTTTGTGAGAGAGCGTGAGTTTGAGTTACAAAGGGATGTAACTCTCATTTATGTGCGCGTATGAGTGAGAGAGTGAGTTTGAATGAGTGTGTATGCGTGTTATTAGGAGGGGGCAATCTTGATGGCAATGCATGTATGTGTGTGTGTATGTTTTTCTCTTTATATTAGCATAGTTTCTCATCCGATAAGTTATTATTTTATTAATAGTTCATGTCTTAGAAAATATGAATATGCAGTAAATATATTAATGCAGAACTGTTGAACTGATTTGTTTGTTATTCTGTAGTGTATGTCTTTGATAAACATGGTCTGATGATCACATAACATGTTTCAGTTCCCTTGACTGAGAAGCCGCCTGAAGCGGAGCAGCCTGAAGCAGACCATTTTGGTATACTGACGTGTTGCTGTTGACATCACTGAGAGATGTGTTATATTGAATGTATATTCTAATATATGTAGTTTCAAGTGTCAGTAATGTTTCTTGCCTCCTTCGCAGTATAACAGATTTCATATCTTGAGTCCTGAACATATTACTCCGATTTATAGAACAAACCTTCATTTTTCTGTGAAGTAACTGCGACGACTATTTTGACAGAGTCACCAGGAAACGAGGATACACACAAGAATGTTCCCAACATTGACAAGCAGCCGACAGGTATATATATAAACTGCGAGTTTTGTACCAACTTTGTTTTTCCCACTTAGGTAACGGAACTAATGTTTTCCTTTAACTTCGCTGTGGTTCCATCAAGCGACATTTCACAAATAAAGCAATTACTTTTATGATAAATGAATGATGGTTCTCTGAGAGGAGATGCTACTACAATAATACATAATTTCAACAGGAATGTATGATTTACCGAGTAATACCCACGAACTTCTTTCAGTGTGTGGTATTATCTCTAACAGATCAGCCGTCCAGGGAGAAGGACATCAGTGACCTGTTCGTGGAAACTGAGGGTTACCGGAAGGTTAAAGACAAACTGGAAACACTTGGCCACGTGACAATAAGTGGTGTCCCGGGAGCAGGCAAAACATCCACGGCCCTGATGCTGGGAGCTGAATACAGGAGACAGGGGTATGAAGTGGTACTGGTTGAGGACGTTGGTTCTTTCCAGTTGTCTGATTGTCTGTGTAAGGACAAAGATGTCTGTGTCATATTCGATGACATATTTCAGAACGCTGGGCCATCCATGGACGTACATCGCCTGAGACAAGTTCTGTATGAGCTCCATGGACATCTTGAACCCTGGAAAACGAAGATGGAAAGAAGATACAACATCCTGCAGCAGACACCAGGGACCGAACAAAGAAGAAAAGATCGTCCGAACGTATATATCATATTCACTACAGATTCCAACAACCTTGAACATGCAATGCCAAAACTCAAAGAACCTATATTGTTCCAAAATTCTTCAGTAGTAGACTTGAACAAATTGATGACAGGTGAAGAGAAGAAGGCCATTTGGCTGAAACATAAAAATCATTACGACTGTAAAACTGAGGTCGACGTAGACATAATTATTGCATACGAGGAAAGGGTTGGTTTTCCTCTGGCATGCAAGCTTTTCTCAAGATATGCTCCCTTTAAAAAACACAAAGAATCGTTTTTTGAAATGCCTAAATTCCATCTAAAACATGAACTGCATACGAACATAAATCACCAGGACGATCAGTCAGTAATATTCCTGTTGAAGTCACTATGTGGAGGTGAACAGAATACAAGAAAACGCCACACTGAATCTTACAACAAAATACAAGACACACACATGAAGGATGTCTTGGCCCTTGTCTCATGTTCCCATCCTCTAATACAAGACATGTGTATGTCTGCCATATTGAATACTAAACCAGAGCTGTTCCTCCATAACTGTAGTTTAAAGTTCATCTGTGACCATGTACGTGATCAGCAGCATGACCCTGCTCCAGCAGAACAGACTGTCATTTATTTCCCAGGTACTCACAGTGACGTAATTACTGCCAGACTGGCTGAAGCTATTGCTGATGGCACTTTCAGTAACTACATCATGCATCCCATCTGGAAAAGGAAAGAAGTTGCAGACAAAGTGAATCAATTGTTTCCAGATGATTGGATCAAGTCTCATGATACAAAGCACTGTATTCTCCATTATGCCTGTTTCATGGGGAATAATGACATCATAAAACGACTCCTCCCCCATTGTGACATCAACAGACGTGCAGGGAATGGTTGGACGCCAGTTATGTTTGCAGTTACCGGTGGACAGATGGACAGTTTGAAACTTCTAGTGGATCATAAAGCTGATATCACACTGTGTGATGCCATGAACAATAACCTGTTACATTTGGCTTGTCAGTATGGAAATATTTCACTTGTCCAATATGTTGAAAGAACGCTGAAGAAAAGTAACACTTGTCGTATCAACAGTCGAGGAGTGAATGGCTGGACACCGATTATGCATGCAACTGTCGCGGGCAAGAATGATATCTTTGATTATCTAGTCAAACAAGGCAGAAGTGATTTAACCTTACGGGATAGCAACAACAACACTGTTCTTCATCTGGCATGTATGTATGCCAATAAAACCATTGTTAATTCGTTGTTACCATCAACAGACAAAGATTGTCAAGGGAAAAACGGCATGACGCCTGTGATGTGTGCTCTATTGTCAGGGAGGATGGATGTGTTTAACCTCCTCGTGTCACAAAATGCAGACACGGCATTGACTGACGATGATAACAACAGTCTCCTTCATTTAGCCTGCCTCTTTGATGACATACCCGGCATCCTACTAACAAAGATTGACGCTGATACTCAAGGAAATCAGGGTTGGACACCTCTAATGAAGGCAGCAGTCAATGGAGCAAAACATGCATTTGACCAGCTGGATAAAGCAAAGGCTGATCTTCACCCGAAAGACGACAACAACAACAATATCCTTCACCTGGCATGTCATGGTGGACATGTCTCCATTGTGAAACATGTACTGACAATGTATGACATCAACAGTCGTGGGAATAAAGGATGGACGCCAGTTATGTATGCAGCTGCCAGTGGAGTGAAGGACGTGTTTGACCTGCTTGTGTCTTCGGGGGCTGACTTGTCTTTGAAGGATGACTACAGCAACTCTGTATTCCAGTCAGCATGTGTAGGTAGGAACCTATCCATTGTGGAATGCCTACTGCCAAAATCTGAAGTCAACAGTTCGGATTACCTCGGCAGGACTGCACTTATGGAAGCTGCTGAGTCAGGGCACATTCGTGTTTTCGATTTTCTTGGGTCACAAAAAAATCATCTTATACAGACTGACGACTTCAATAACACCGTCTTACATTTTGCATGTGAGGGAGGGAATGTAGACATTCTTCAACATCTGCTGACAACAGCTGATCTCAATGCGAGGGGAACGAATGGCTGGTCACCAGTTATGGTAGCAGCTCGATTTGGAAAGTCAGATGTTTTCAACTTGCTTGTTTCAAAAGAAGTGGATCTCACTCTGAAAGACGACCACGGTAACAACATGCTTCACCTCGCTTGTCAGGGAGGAAGCATGTCGATCACAGAGCATCTGCTACCACTGTTTGACATCAACAGCCGTGGACAGGATGGCAGGACGCCTGTGATTTACGCAGCTGTCAACGGAGTGAAGTGTTTGTTTGATCTGCTTGTCTCAGGGGGAGCTGATACATCGCTGAAGGATGACCACAACAATTCCGTGTTTCATTTAGCTTGTCTGGGTGGAAATAGATCAATAGTGGAACAACTACTTCCAAATGTAGACATCAACACTTTGGAAGACAGTGGGAGAACAGCAATCATGGAGGCAGCTTTTTCCAGAAACAAAAATGTTTTCGATTTTCTGATCTCAAAGAACGCCGATGTGAAAGTGATCGATGACTACAGAGACAGTGTCCTTCACTCAGCATGTAAGGGAAGCGAGTCCACGATCGTTCAGCTTGTTCTCCAAATGTTTGACGTCAATACCAGGGGAAAGAAGGGTATGACACCAGCGATGATAGCATCCTCTTTAGGAAACAGACACCTGTTCAACGTGCTTGTGTCACAGCAAGCAGATCTCACTCTAACTGACGACCATGGTAACAACATGCTGCATCTCGCCTGTCAGGGAGGAAACTGGTCCATCATAAAGCATCTGCTTCCACTGTTTGACATCAATGCTCGTGGACAAGATGGCAGGACAGATGTGATGTACACAGCCCTAAATGGAGTGAAGAGCGTGTTTGACCGTGTCTCCACGGGAACTGACATGTCACTGAAGGATGATTACAACGCGCCACTATTTCATTTAGCTTGTCGTGGTGGAAACACTTCAATTGTAGAACACCTCCTACAGCGGAGTGATATCAATCACCAGGGATTCAACAACAGAACAGCAGTAATGGAAGCAGCCTTGGCAGGCAAAGCTAATGTTTTTCATCTGCTTGTGTCTAAGGAGGCTGAGCTGAATCTGACCGACAACTACAATGATAACGTTCTACATTTTGCATGTCTTGGCGGAGACACAGCTATTGTAAGGAATCTTCTGAAGATGATGGACATAAATGCTAAAGGACGAAATGGCTCCACACCAGTTATGCATGCAGCTTGGGCTGGACAGAAGAATGTGTTCAGCCTCCTTGTGTCACAAAACGTTGAGATGAAGCTGCTGGATCTCTCCAGGAACAATTTACTGCATCTTGCTTGTCAGGGAGGAAACACGTCCATCATAAAGTATCTCCTGCCTCTGTTTGACATCAACAGTCCGGGAGAAGATGGATGGACGCCAATAATGATGGCAGCTCTCAGTGGAAAGAAGGATGCTTATGATCTGATTGCAGCAAATGGGGGTATTCCATCTTTGACGACTCCACAGAATGATAATGTTCTTCACGCAGCTTGTCAAGGTGGGAACAAAGCCATTGTTAGGAAAGTGATTGACAGCTTTGGCATCAATACAAGAGGTAAGAATGGTTGCACGCCTCTGATGAGAGCTGTTGTTGGAGGCCATATGAGTGTGGTGAAGTTCCTGATGTCCCGGCATGCTGACCACACTCTAGTGGACAAGGATGGACTCACTCTTCTACATCTTGCTTGTAGGTATGGCCACCTTGACAGTGTGAAGCATATATCAGACAAGTTCAATATAGACACTCAAGACAAAGGTGGTTTAACATGCATCATGACATCAGCGTTATATGGACAAGTAGCAGTGTTTGACTACCTGAGAAGTAGAGGCGCTGATCTGACACTGGTTGACACCACAGGTGATGACGCCTTAAATATTGCCTTTAAAGTGAACTGCAGACAAATCATAGAAACACTTACATCAGGTGGAGAGTCAGAGAGGAATGTCAAGCCATTGAATGACATAATGAGGTCAATAGTGAGGGCTGATGTGTACCATCTGAATATGTACGAACCAGACAGAGCTTAACTTCGGGAGCTGACAAATGAAACTGACCCACGGAACTATGGAAAAAACTGTTGAAATCAAGTCTTACGTGCACCAGCTGAATATTTACAGAAACAGAAAGTAACTCCGAGACCTGGCAGTTACTGGAGACAGGAAAAGGAGCAAACTCAAGATATCAATATGGAATAAAAAGATGAAGTCAACTGTGATGGCTGACGTGGACTATCTGAACATAAACATGCCAAACAGGGAGTCAGAGATGAAACAAATAAAGATAAATTCCCCGCTATGGCTGACGTGGACCATCTGAACATATACAAGCCAAACAGGGAGTTGGAGATGAAACAGGTAAAGATAGGTAAAGATAACATTCCCAGAGATGAAACAAAGTAAAGATACATTCTATGGCTGACGTGGACCATCTGAACATATACAAGCCAAACAGGGAGTTGGAGATGAAACAGGTAAAGATACATTCCCCGCTATGGCTGACGTGGACCATCTGAACATATACAAGCCAAACAGGGAGTCAGAGATGGAACAAATAAAGATAAATGCCCCGCTATGGCTGACGTGGACCATCTGAACATGTACAAGCCAAACAGGGAGTCAGATACGAAACAGGTAAAGATAAATTCCCCGCTATGGGGTCAGGTACTTAGCTTGAACGTCTACAGTTACAGAAATCTTTGGTAAAGAGGACGATTACTAAGCTTGAAGGACTTCAGTTAAAGACGTCCGTGCTAGTGGAGGCAATTACGTAGCTTGAAGGTCTACAGTTAAAGAAATCATTGATGAAGGGGGCAAGTACTATAGTTGAAAAAGTCCAGATCTGATTCTGACTCATCAAATTCCAGAGAAGATATCATGAAAATAGCCTGAAGAGGCAGCAATGAGTCTTTTGACATAATGAGGAACATGCATGATGTGCGTGCATAAACTATTCACTGAATGTAGGTAATATAGTTTGCATTGAACGTTGTATCATAATGGACAGAAGAGAGCTGTTGTAGTTGTATTACAATGAACGTTGTATCATAATGGACAGAAGAGAGCTGTTGTAGTTGTATTACATTGAACGTTGTATCATAATGGACAGAAGAGAGCTGTTGTAGTAGTATTACATTGAACGTTGTATCATAATGGAAAGAAGATAGCTGTTGTAGTAGAATTACATTGAACGTTGTATCATAATGGACAGAAGAGAGCTGTTGTAGTAGTATTACATTGAACGTTGTATCATAATGGAAAGAAGAGAGCTGTTGTAGTAGTATTACATTGAACGTTGTATCATAATGGACAGAAGAGAGCTGTTGTAGTAGTATTACATTGAACGTTGTATCATAATGGACAGAAGAGAGCTGTTGTAGTAGTATTACATTGAACGTTGTATCATAATGGAAAGAAGAGAGCTGTTGTAGTAGTATTACATTGAACGTTGTATCATAATGGACAGAAGAGAGCTGTTGTAGTAGTATTACATTGAACGTTGTATCATAATGGACAGAAGAGAGCTGTTGTAGTAGTATTACATTGAACGTTGTATCATAATGGACAGAAGAGAGCTGTTGTAGTAGTATTACATTGAACGTTGTATCATAATGGACAGAAGAGAAATTAAGAACGTTGTATCATAATGGACAGAAGAGAGCTGTTGTAGTAGTATTACATTGAACGTTGTATCATAATGGACAGAAGAGAGCTGTTGTAGTAGTATTACATTGAACGTTGTATCATAATGGAAAGAAGAGAGCTGTTGTAGTAGTATTACAATGAACGTTGTATCATAATGGACAGAAGAGAGCTGTTGTAGTAGTATTACATTGAACGTTGTATCATAATGGACAGAAGAGAGCTGTTGTAGTAGTATTACAATGAACGTTGTATCATAAGGGACAAGAAGAGAGCTGTTGTAGTAGTATTACAATGAACGTTGTATCATAATGGAGAGAAGAGAGCTGTTGTAGTAGTATTATAATGAACGTTGTATCATAAGGGACAGAAGAGAGCTGTTGTAGTAGTATTACATTGAACGTTGTATCATAATGGACAGAAGAGAGCTGTTGTAGTAGTATTACATTGAACGTTGTATCATAATGGACAGAAGAGAGCTGTTGTAGTAGTATTACATTGAACGTTGTATCACAATGGACAGAAGAGAGCTGTTGTAGTAGTATTACATTGAACGTTGTATCATAATGGACAGAAGAGAACTGTTGTAATAGTATTACATTGAACGTTGTATCATAATCGACAGAAGACAGCTGTTGTAGCAGAATTACATTGAACGTTGTATCATAATGGACAGAAGAGAGCTGTTGTAGTAGTATTACATTGAACGTTGTATCAGAATGGACAGAAGAGAACTGTTGTAGTAGTATTACATTGAACGTTGTATCACAATGGACAGAAGAGAGCTGTTGTAGTAGTATTACATTGAACGTTGTATCATAATGGACAGAAGAGAACTGTTGTAGTAGTATTACATTGAACGTTGTATCATAATTGACAGAAGACAGCTGTTGTAGTAGAATTACATTGAACGTTGTATCATAATGGACAGAAGAGAGCTGTTGTAGTAGTATTACATTGAACGTTGTATCATAATGGAAAGAAGATAGCTGTTGTAGTAGTATTACAATGAACGTTGTATCACAATGGACAGAAGAGAGCTGTTGTAGTAGTATTACATTGAACGTTGTATCATAAGGGACAGAAGAGAGCTGTTGTAGTAGTATTACATTGAACGTTGTATCATAATGGACAAGAAGAGAGCTGTTGTAGTAGTATTACAATGAACGTTGTATCATAATGGACAGAAGAGAGCTGTTGTAGTAGTATTACAATGAACGTTGTATCATAATGGAAATAAGAGAGCTGTTGTAGTAGTATTACATTGAACCTTGTATCATAATGGACAGAAGAGAGCTGTTGTAGTAGTATTACATTGAACGTTGTATCACAATGGACAGAAGAGAGCTGTTGTAGTAGTATTACATTGAACGTTGTATCATAATGGAAATAAGAGAGCTGTTGTAGTAGTATTACAATGAACGTTGTACCATAATGGACAGAAGAGTGCTGTTGTAGTAGTATTACATTGAACGTTGTATCATAATGGAAAGAAGATATCTGTTGTAGTAGTATTACAATGAACGTTGTATCATAATGGAAAGAAGAGAACCGTTGTAGTAGTATTACAATGAACGTTGTATCATAATGGAAAGAAGAGAGCTGTTGTAGTAGTATTAAAATGATTTGGTTTAGGGTGCTGTTTATACATTCCTTGTATGTATACTTCGGTACAGTGTTGTGGGCCATACGCCCTGTGTACAACATGGTCCATATGTATACAGTGATAAATTATAAAGTCATTATACAATTACAGCAAGACGGAGATTAAGGACATGGAGGACATACCAATTCAATAACAGGTGATACAAAAACTTGACAAGGTCTTTATACAAGTACATCGATGCATGGAAAGTATAACAGTCCTTATACGGAGATGCATCTGTTTTAACAAAGCACTTGTGTATCAAATCATGGAAAATATAACAGTCTATGTACGGTGATTCATAATTTTACAGGGTACTATATAAGTACATCAAGACATGGAAGATATAACAGTCCATATACAGTGTTATGTAATTTTACAAAGTACTTATACAGGTGCTCTTTAGTGGAGATTTCAGGCGTGGAAGATATAACAGTCCATATACAGTGATGCAGAAATAAACAAGGTACTCATTCAGGTTCAATGTATGGAAGATAGAACCGTCTATATGCGACGATACAATAGATTTTACAAGGTACTTATACAAGTGTATCAAAGGATAGAAGTCAACAGGATATAACAGTCCATGTACAGTGATGCATAATTTTACGGGGTACTATACAAGTACACCAAGGCCTGGAAGATATAACAGTCCATATACAGTGTTATATAATTTTACAGGGTAATTATACAAGAGCTTTAAGGCAAAGACTTGAGGCATGGAGAATATAACAAACTTGAAATATCAATGATGTAAATTTCCTGATAAAGAAGTATAGTATGTTGCGTTACGCTTCAATAGCTTTTCGTTGTGAGAATTATACATTTTGTTAAACATCCACATTACGTATTTATCAGACAATATGTGTGTGTTATTGTCTAACACTTAATTTTTAATACACCAATGTACTTTGTCTCAAATAATTTGAGGGATGATATTTGTGTAAGAGTTCCTATGGTATCCATTGTCACATAATTACTGCAACTGATTACATCTTTGTGCCAAGAGACATGGTAGCTGTGACAGGAAACTGAAGGTGCCTGTTTAGACACTTTCACTGTTACTGTTTAGACACTTTCACTGTTACTGTTTAGACACTTTCACTGTTACTGTGTAGACACTTTCCCTGTTACTGTGTAGACACTTTCCCTGTTACTGTTTAGACACTTTCACTGTTACTGTTTAGACTCTTTCATTGTTACTGTTTAGACACTTTTACTGTTACTGTTTAGACACTTTCACTGCTACTGTTTAGACTCTTTCACTGTTACTGTGTAGACACTTTCACTGTTACTGTTTAGACACTTTCACTGTTACTGTTTAGACACTTTCACTGTTACTGTTTAGACTCTTTCACTGTTACTGTTTAGACACTTTCACTGTTACTGTTTAGACACATTCATTGTTACTGTTTGGACACTTTCACTGTTACTGTTTAGACACATTCATTGTTACTGTTTAGACACTTTCACTGTTACTGTTTAGACACTTTCACTGTTACTGTTTAGACACTTTCACTGTTACTGTTTAGACACTTTCACTGTTACTGTTTAGACTCGTTCACTGTTACTGTTTAGACTCTTTTGCCGCGAATGTCATGAAATTTTGTACATTTTTCTTTTGTGTAATAGTAGATCTCGATATATCATATTGACATTTGTTTTGTTTAATAGTAGATCTCGATATATCATATTGACATTTGTTTTGTTTAATAGTAGATCTCGATATATCATATTGACATTTGTTTTGTTTAATAATGACATTTGTTTTGTTTAATAGTAGATCTCGATATATCGTATTGACATTTGTTTTGTTTAATAGTAGATCTCGATATATCATGTTGACATTTTCCCTCAATTCTCTCAAATGCGTTCCCTTATATATACTCAAAGGCAAAAGTTATTGTGATTGACTTGGTGTTAGATCTGTGAATTAACAACTGATAATTTCTATGACAAGACGGGTTTTTTTTAATATGGCAAGAAAGTCATTCCCAAATAGGATTGCAAATGGCTCATTTTAAACTTTTCTGGCGCACACATGCTAGTGTAGTCACAGTGAGGGAACGGTCAAAATGAAATTCACACAGTCAATAAAGTGTATGTTCACCGTCAGCATTGATGCATGCCTGACACATTCCCTCACAGAGCCAACCAAACGTCAAAAAATAATCTCGTGGAATGGCATTCCATATCTGAGGAAGCACCTGGCAGAGTTCCTGAACCGTGACTGGAAGATTTGGCCAACGTCTCAATCTCCTCTCCATTTCTTCCCAGACGTGTTCGATAGGGAACAGATCTGGAGATTTAGCATCAGTGCGGTGCAAGGGGAATCTTGACTCGCCAGTGAACAGAACACGTCTCTACTCACGTGTTCTCCACCGAAAATGCTGTTTGCACCACTGCAGGCGTAGACGTTGGTGACGTAATGTCGAAATTTGTCGCCTGGTAGGACGACTAGCATTTATCCCGTGTGCAGCCAGACACAGGCGAATGGTCCTTGGCGATATCATGTTGATACCAGGAACTGTTCGTGTTGTCAGTGTGGCTGGTTGGAATCTTTGAGGCAGATGGATGGTTCGAATACAACGACCGTTGCGTGGCTTGGTAACAGATGGACGACCACGTCGGGGACGGTTTGCAACGACGGCGTTTTGTTGACAACGTCTCCACAAGTGG